CATTAGGCGACGATTAAATAATTTCTCGTCGAACTATTAATCACCATCGGCCTGCTGTCCGTTCCATTACCGAGCAATTATTCGGCGCGGCGCCCGGCAGGCAGCGTTCGCCGTATTATTCATCCGCGTGTCACTCAGTGGCTCGCTCCGACCGGCCGCCGGCGGCACTCTGACCGGCCGGAGCCGACCGGCAGGTCAGAGGAACAGCACCGACAAACTGTGGTCAGTCCATGACTACCCACTGCCCAGAGTCGTCCGCTCGGCACTGGACTTTGAACTCAGCTCCGCTCATCTCCGATCGCCACCGGCTGTTGCCTCGCCTCCAGCTGCAGCTTCAACGCGTGACCAATCAACTCGAAGAGCCTCTGTTAAATGGATGTGCGCTCAGACACGGGCGCGCACGCCTCAAGCTTATGTCAACAGCACTCGTGCTGGCCTCCTCGGCCATTTCGAGGCACGGTGTCCGAGAGCGCTGTGTGTTTTCTGTGGAAAACCACGAGCCGTTGAGTATAGCGCCGCAGGAAAGAAGACGCTACGAGGTGTGTTATGAAGTGGAGCCTGAGCGCCAGGTATGTTTGTGTCAGCTGATCGGATCATGACAGCTTGCGATATTTATGAGATTGGCAAGTATGCGGGCTCACGTATCAGTGTCTCTTTCGCCATTGGCACGATCGTTTCGCTCACCGTCGCTGCCGCCACTCGCCAGCGCTACCACTACCGCCACCAGCCTTCAAGCACGACATAGGCCCGCCGCATCCGTCGGCGATGCTTTCTACGATAGACGAATACGGGCACACCTCAGCACCCGAGCGAGCTGCTCCCTCTGTGCGGGCCCAATGGTCTGCGTGAGATAACGCCTCATTCACGCAATGGTCTATCCATAGCGACTTACCAGCGCAAGTTGATCTCTTACGAGCACCTCTATCCCTGCCGCGGGAGGGGCGGACTGCGCCGGCGCCGCTTCTCAACAAAAGATCAACATCACAGAGGCTGGCATGGCTCGCATGCAGCGCGGACGGGACACGGTCAACATTCCTGGAATATGGAGCGAGTGAACCTTCGCCGGCGTCCGTATCGCTCATAGAACCACCGCCGTGGTGAGGCCAGAGTCGAGGAGCGTGCCAACCGTGATCGACAGCCATGAACACTGAACACCGGCGTTCAGAGCGCACCGCCTAGCCCGCGGCAGAAGACGACCCCGCTGTAGACAGGCTAGCGCTTCTCACGAGGCAGTTAAGACCGCCGTGGCTCTGTTATGAGTGGGTGGAGCAGAGGACGCCGCCCGTGCCTGTCTGGTCGGCACATACGGGGTGACTGTGAGTACCGCACCGCAACGGTGAAGGAATGCGTCCCTCACGTTCCGAAAAGACCGTAACAGACAGCCAGGCTCTACTTGGGATGACTAAACACATCGGCCAATCGCTCAGGAGCGCGACGGTCGACCACGCTCTGCTTTATCAGTGATGGCTCAATTTGTATCCTTTGTTTAACCTAATACGCTGCAGTAATTAGCATGTGGTTGAGTGACGGACAGAGAAAGGCTGCACCCGAGAGGACAGCCGGGCCCGCCCCCTGCATACAACGGAACAGGCCCTGTCGGTCTGAACAATACCAGACCAGCAGTACCGCACCGGCTCCTGAGGCCACGCAATATTCAGGTCAGGCACTCTGGGCGGGGGCACTCCGTGGAGGTACTCTCGGATTATCTCCTGCTACGGGGAGAGAGGAGAGTGACCGGTCTTGTCTTCGTGTTCTGTGGGGGTGGGACGTTTGAAGTCTGCGAAGCAAAAGATCCTGCTTCTTGTAGCTATGTATGTAAGAATGAAGATGGCTTTATGTTGGAGTAGAATAAAAAATACGTCGCTGGCACTGATGATCTAACCTCACGACAGTGCATTCAACACAGAAAATACATTCTCAACAGTTTCGCAAGCTTAGCTAATAGCTTTTAAGTGCACATTCCCTTTTGCGCCATCTTACTACTTATCCAGCTACCGTAGTCTTGCCAAAAACGGACCCAATAATTGGATAACAAAGTATAGGCTCTCCTTTTGGTATCATGGCGCATCGACGTAGGACCGTTTGGCAATAGACGTTTGTTTGATAATGGAAAATGCTCTAGAATATCTATTCTGATGTTCATGAGCGGCGCAAGTTACGTAACAAAAACATTGGTTTCCTGATATCACGTTGATCACCCACTATAATCTGCGTCAGCTCTTTTCTATGCGTTACTGCTGCTTGGCGGTGCTTTCGCCATCGACTTCTGACGACTTCTGAGTTCTGGCATCTGAGCGCTCCTTCACAGTCGCATCTGTCGACAAAGTAGTCATCACGCAGTCTCCAGGACAGTCCAACCAAAACGAGCGACCATAAGGGGCCACTGAACAGCCATCAGTCCTCAGTTTTTACTACCACCGCTAACCGAAGGTGCCAGCTCGACTGTCCTGCCTTTGCGACTCATAGCAATTCAGATATGCGTTCGGTGAAAGGCTCCTTCAGCAGCGAGCCATCCCACAGACAGACATGCACAGCGCTGCAGAGCGCAGTCTCCGCTCGCGCCACTGTCTGACAGTAGCGCTATGCGCGAGACAGCCTGTCTGGCGAACAAAGGCGGTCGCTGGAGACAGAACTGGCGCACGCCAGGCGCCGTCGCCGCCGCTGCGCCGCTAGCGTATGGTAATAGTGCGGTTAGCGACAAGCAGCGGCCGGGCGGCGAGGGATAGGCGCGCTAGTGTCGCGCCTGATGAATGAGAGCGGGCGGAGGTCGGCCTGGAGAACTAGGAGAGTGGGAGAGTAGCGGAGAGATGGAGAGAGCTGTGGTAGAGCGAGCTACTTAGACAGCCGGAGCTCGGCTAAGCTCGGAAGAAGGTTAGAAGAAGTCCGAGAGGAGATATTTGAACTGAGTCAGGAAAATTCAAAGGAAGAGTCAGAACACGAATGACTAAGAAGAGGCAAAATAAGCAGTAACCAAGAAAGCGGACTAAGAAGAAGCAGTCTGGTGGGTCAGGCTGGGCTAAATGAGCTATGACTCGACGGGGCGTTCGGGGTTGCGTGAAGCCTCCCTGAATCACCACGTGCCACGTCGCCTCCAAACACTGACTAACCAGACGCTGAGCGGAAAGACACGCGCACCGGATGTTCTCGTATACCTGACCTGGCCACCGCGCGCTGACACAACCTATTGGTTTCCGTGTTGGGGTGAATCGTCGACGGTCGAGCATCTTATCCTATCCGGCCAAGCTCACCTCGATCACCGTCCCGATGAGTCGGATCTGAGTCAAACTGTGCGTCAGAACAGAGGAGAGATAGAGAGAGAGAGAGAGAGAGAGAGAGAGAGAGAGAGAGAGAGAGAGAAGAGAGAGAGAGAGAGAGAGAGAGAGAGAGAGAGAGAGAGAGAGAGGAGAGAGAGAGAGAGAGAGAGAGAGGAGGAGAGAGAGAGGTGAGAGAGAGAGAGAGAGAGTGAGAGTGAGAGAGAGAGAGAGAGAAGAGGAGAGATGAGAGAGGGAGTGAGAGAGGAGAGGAGAGAGAGAGAGCGAGAGAGGGGGAGAGAGGAGGGAGAGGGAGAGAGAGAGATGAGAGGAGAGAGACGAGAGAGAGAGAGAGGTGAGGGGAGAGGAGAGAGGAGAGGAGGGAGAGAGAGAGGAGAGGAGGATAGAGAGGAGAGAGAGAGAGGAGAGAGAGAGAGAGAGAGAGAGAGAGAGAGAGAGAGAGAGAGAGAGAGGAGAGAGAGAGAGAGAGAGAGAGAGGAGAGGAGAGAGAGAGAGAGGAGAGAGAGAGAGAGAGAGAGAGAGAGAGAGAGAGAGAGAGAGAGGAGAGAGAGAGAGAGAGAGAGAGAGGAATAGGATCACCAGGCTGACCTTGGAGGAGTCATCAGCGACCGGGGGTCATCAGCGGTGGTGATGGTGTCATCAGGACCTGGATCAGCGCCGAGTTTATAGTTTGGGGTGCTTAAAACATCATCACAATCTCTTCTTCTCTCTCTCTCTCTCTCTCTCTCTCTCTCTCTCTCTCCCTTCTCTTCTCTCTCTCTCTCTCTCTCATATTTACTTATCCAGGCCCAGAATCTTGCATCGCAAGTTGCTGGATATCAATATCTGAGATCACAGCAACCAAATCCGCGTAAAAAGATCTGTAGCCTTGATGACGATAACGGTAGCCTTACTTTCAATATCCCGGCTCACCATGTCCTGCTCACGGTATAATTCATTCCAGTATCCTAACACACGTAACCCGGGCCACAATAATGTTTGGCTGGAGGTATATGATGTTATTGCATTGCAGATGTCGGTGGCGATACGACCACCTCTTACCAACCGCCTATCCAGGGCCGGCCGCGCGCTAACCTGACAAGCATACTACAAAACACTTAACGTCCGCACGGCTGCACTGTATGCTAATCAACTCATATTTTAAAATCATCCTTATGAGAAGCAGGATTAATATCCAAATCGTACATACGTCAGACAGCGCAAGCAGCAAGATGCTGCGAATATAAAGGGCTCGTTGCAATACAGATGCATAGACAGCAGACACGAGCGTGGTAAGTTTCTCCGAAAATCCACCGAATTTAGTTTCTGACGCATGCCAACGGGTTCAGTTTGTGATCAATCATTTTTCTGGGTAAAACATAACCCAGACTTATGCAGCGCCTATCGGCCCTGTCATGTAATTATGCAGGAAGTGTGGCGCCGAATCGGCTCTGTTCATTCTAGGAACCGATCAGCCGGACGCGTTCCTTTTAAAGCTACACATGTGATCGACGAGTCCGTGCCACAAGCCGCAGCGTGCAGCGTTTGGGCGCTCAAATTACTGCGCTGCTTGTCGGATGCCGCAACCGGCGAGCTCGGACCATTTGCGGACATGGCCGGGCGTTCAATGTGGTGTGGATTTACTTTTTGCCGGTACACAGAAGCATCGTGAACGGCGAGGTACTGCGGCATTGGTGGCGATAGTAGTTGCTGAAAATGGGTCTTTTTGCGACGGGATTGTAGCACAAAAAGAACTATAAGTATTTAATGTCACACAGATCGTACGTATGTTACATGCATAAGTGTTGATGTACGGAACCAGTAGAAGATGTATACAAACATGACAGAGGAACAGTTTCACCGTGAGAAAAGCTACTTGCACTTACATAGCAAAGTGTAGGCATGCCAGTGTATCTAATTTGCAGTCAGTTTATGCATAAAAAAAGAAGCAAAATGCATAAAAACACATCCAGTTTAAACAAGTGATAAAGTCATACGCATCGGTGAATTTCAATCGCACTCCAACCAGTTTCTCATTTAGTAACAACGCGTGACACAACGGTAGCCTCAGCAATAATTTGAATAAACCCATTGATAGCTCAGTTGGTCTTGGTCACCTCATTTCCGAAACATTTCCCTCCTTGAGACATTGCAACACGTCTAAATGCAAACACAACAGGACCGACACGATGTATCGAAATACCGGCATACCAATGCAGTTCAGCCCATCACCGGCCGAAGCCGATGACGCACAAGTGCCCAAAATGAGCTACCATTGGTCAGCAGTGATCACCTCTGCTGACGAGCCCAGTCCAGCCGGTCGCCGGGTCCCCTCTGACCCCTCCCGAGCTCGACACTCTTGTTGCATCATGCACGGTGGCTCCTACACGAGCAGAATGCGATGGCAATGGCGTCGTCATCGATCCCAGATTAACGCTCTCCGTCGCCGGCGTCGGCGGCCGCAAGCTGGCGACAGATGCCCCCTGTCAGGGCAATCAAAACCGGCCACCGCTGGTATAAGGAGACAGCCGGCAGCGGGCGCTTGGTGACGACAAATCTGTCCATGTCGGCACCGCACGTGGTACTGGGAGAGTTACCGAGGGAGGGTCGGTGTTCAGTCTCACTGCAAAGGATTGGGGCTTTCTGCTGAGATGGAAAGATCGAGAGGGGAAGAGAGAGAGGAAGAGAGAGAGAGAGAGGGGGGAGTGAGAGAGAGAGAGAGAGACAGAGAAGAGAGAGAGAGAGAGAGAGAGAGAGAGAGAGAGAGAGAGAGAGAGGGAGAGGGAGAGAGAGAGAGAACACTGTTTCTGCTATCTACATACTCTGTACATTTGTTAGATGCAAATAGGTTTCCTACAAATAGAATAGTAGATATTAGTTCCATGAATTTGAATTGCAGCCATAGGCACATATTTCCAATGTTATTCATTCACATTCCGTGCCTTTATTTGTGTTGTATTACGAGAAAGGCCACAGCAAGGGACTTCCCGGCAATAGTATGACTACTTAGCAACTCTGATGCACATTCTTTGCGGTGACACACAGCTCTCTATAGCTCAGAATTCCGACTACCCAGGAGTTCCTGGCTTTGACCGAAAGGCTAGCCAGGGATATTTCTCACTGTGCAAGTCTATGTATAGACTGTGGCGACTGTAAGTCTCGGCGGCAATGAGTGGCGCACCATTCCATGCCCCTCGGTTGATAATTTTCGTTGCCGTCTGTTCCCTGTCATGATGCAAGACACAAAACCATCAACGAAACTATAAATCCTGCGCCATGGTTCCGTAGCCCAGGCCGACTCATCGGGCTCATCAAGGCCGGCTCACTGGCTGAGGAGCGTTTTGTAACACGGAGGGGACCACTGCGAGTTCGCAGGACAGGCACGTACCATATAAACAGCGCCGCGGCGCCGGCGGCCACCGCGCCGACCGTAATTCATGCAGCTATGTGTGTTAAGAAACCATGCGCGCCGGCCGGTCGACTCTAGCGATAACCTTCGGTGCCGCGGTGCCAGAGCCGTGTAGCTACAACCTCGGCCACGTTTCCGTCCCGAGTGAAGGATGTTGGAGCGGTGTAGCTGTATTTTGATGAACATCGAACTCGAGGAGCACGTGCAGACCGCTGCAATTTAGTCAGACTTGTCGCGGCTCATGTTTCCTTGTCGCGCATGCTGGTCATTCTTTTGCTGACGTTTGTCAAGGAAGAGCGCGGCTTTGACGCCGCATCACTTATCACCAAATACTGAAACGGATGCCGAGGATGCGTCGCTGTGAATTTGACCGGCAGTGAGAGTGCTTGGACTGCTCAGAATTCCGACTGCGTTCTGTTCACTCTCGCACGAGTCATACCAAATCGAGCGGAAGGGAGCTTAGCTAAATCAAGTCAAGGCGGACTGAGTGAGGCTAAGAGGAGCTCAGCCAAATCCAGCTAAGCCAGGCCGAGCCAGCCTTTGTGGAACCTAACTACTTGAGTCTAGAACTAAGTACAGAGCAGATCCGAGCAGGGACGAGTCGAGTTGAATCGACTCCAGCTCATTCGATCCGAACAATTCAGGTCGGGTGATTGGCGGTGGCTGCGGGACGCCGCGTGTCATGAACGGCACCCCTGGCGCTGCCGACGTCCGCCCGGCCATCCATCAGTGAATCAATCAGCGTCGCCGGCCGCCGCCCGCCGTCCGCCCAAATGTACACAGGAATTAGTGCGGCGCCGCGCCGGTATCCCAGAAATGCGCCGCGCCCGCCGAGAAACGCCCGTCGAGAGACGCCCGCCGCGGGAAATTACATAGCCACTCAGCGATAGGCTGAACAGAGTGACACCGCCGCCTCAAATGTAATGACATCTTGCGCAATTGGAGTGGCCCGCTGACCACGACTTAAATTTCATTCAGGTATTCAAACGTCTAAGCGCCTCTGAACAGATTAAGTGATAGGTATAATTTCACAAGGCCACATTAAGGCATTATTACGAAGTGCGTTTGATTCACCTGTCTGAGGTCGTCGGCGCTATCCGATGGAGGGGTGGCAGGCGGCTGACGCGGCGGCAATCTCCATGTCGGGTAGCTTGTTGGACACGGCGGTGGCGGCCGATTCCGTGGCACGCCGGCGGGTGTTCCTTCCTTTCCCGTGTTCTGTCATGTCTGGGACGGGCCGGCGCGGCGCCCGGGCAAACACCGCTCCGTGCTAGCGCCGTGATAATGCAAACATGTACGACACCGGGCCGAGTCATGCCATCTTGTTCCGCGGTGCACAACACCACGAGTGACCAGTCCCTGCCCAGTTCCGCCTCGTCGATGCGCGCGCCGCGCAGTTTTTGTCATCGCAAACGACAGGGCTGTGCTGTCCATTTCAAGGTACCTGCGACTTCCAATGCCTTATCATATTTATTTATTTGACATTGGGAGACACATCCGCTGTATACGGTGGCTATTTTGCGCCTCTTACAGCGCTGCGCTATTCCAAGTGGTAATTTGAGTATTTCCGAGTCATTTCAAGGTGTTCTTTATCATTCATTCATTCATTCATTGTCCACCAAAATATTCGGTGCCGTTCCGGTCATTTTGCACCATTCAATGCCACACTGTTCCGTTCTGTGTCGTTCGTTGGGCGCCGTTCTGTGTCATTCGTTGGCTGCGCCATTCAGCGCTGTTCAGTGCCGTTCGGCGTTGTTCAATACCATTCCGTGTCGCTGTCGGGGCGCCGTTCGGCGGCCTCCGTCGGTGCTGATGTCAGCTCGCCGCCGGCACGGGCGGCCACACCGATCCGCCCCGATCTCCGTCAGATTACTGCCGGTCACGTGACACCACTATCGGATCACGTGACCAAATACGGCAGCCGGGTGACGCCCGCGGAGGAGGCGACGCCACGACGCCGAATTACGTAGGCCCTGTCTCCCTGGGCGCCTGTCGGTCGCCTCCTCCCTGGAGTCTTACGTCAGCACGCCAAGTGATCGCATCACACACAACACGGCAGCAAGGCGGCCGCTGCACAGAGCGCCTGATCTCGGCATTCCTCTCCCACTCTTCTCTCGGCATCTCTAAATCTCCCGCCTCCTCTCTCACCTCACTTATTTGAGCATCCCTCTCTATTTTTCTTTTACATCATTTTCTTTTCTATCCTCTCTTCATCTGGCAAACTATACCAGTTAATCACACCGTCTGTCTTTTCTTTCCACTCTTCTGTCATTGCTCACCATTTTCCGGGATGCTCTTTCTTCCTCTTACCGTCCTACCTTAGCACCTTTCTATATCCCAAAACCCCATGGTCCGGCGTCAGTTTTCATCGCGCTACACATTCGCCGATATTTCTCACTTGTTCCGCTCATTGCCTGCAGTCCCGAAATTCTCCTAGTCGGTTCTTCGCCGGCGGCCACCGTCGTTCCCCGGGCGGCACCTTGAACCGACGCGCCGACCAGTATCGTCGAGATACGACCGCCATCGACCGCCATCGGACCGCCATCGGCAGCCATCGGCCGTCAGCGGTCCCCCATCGGACCGCCAGCGGAGCGGGCGGCGGAGCGGCGGGCGCTAATTGTCGTTACTGTATGCCTGGCCTATTCAAATACATTAGCCAGAGGGGTGTGGTAATGACTGGTGTAAGCAAATTGACCACGGTCAAAAATGCATTACCAGAATGCACTAAAGCCAACATTTTGGGATGGTCTCGTTCCTTTAGTCGGCTAAGAGCTTCAGTCCAGAAAATAAATTTATCGTTGGCATACAGTAAAATACATACCAAACTCGGCCGGTGATAAATTTTCAAGACCTCAGTCCTTACTGATTTTTGAACTCGGCCTTCGGCCTCGTTCAAAAATCCAGTAAGGACCTCGGTCTTGAAAATTTATTTACACCGGCCTCGTTCAGTATTATATAGCACTGGATGGTTATCGGGTCTCTCTGGGCGCCGACGCCCTCCGGAATCGACGACAGAGAGGACGGCGGCCGCTTCTATTGCTAGATGGACGGTCAGGGATGGCGGCTTCTCAGTAGGACATTGACAGAAAGTTTATCTCACGGCTCGAAAAAGAAAAAGAAAACAGAGAAAAAGGGTAGGGAGGTGGCGGAATCTTGCTCAGACATGGAGAGACATGGGGATTCGTCTTTCCGACATCACCAGAAGGATAGTAGTGCCTCGATAAGATCATCACGTAGAGAGGAACAGCGGTCTTTTTGTCTGACACCAGTAGAGCCCCAGAAGATGACAGTCTCTCGGTCCTGAAACACCGCTTGGAATTCCTGTGCTTAGAGACATGAGAAGATATTTACATTCGCACACGTCTTCTCGTAGCCTGACTAGATCACAGGTAATCTTTCCAATCTAATTTTACAACTTCTGGTTCAATTGTCTTATCCTAATCCAATAAGGGAATAGTGATTACCCGACGTACCCATTGCCCTCAGTCTCTCCCCTCCTTCCCCTTTCCTGCATTCTCGCCGTCTGACCGGTGGCACCACGCCGGTGGTGTGAGCCGCTCAAACAGTATTATTTGTCGTCCTGCCGAGTCTGACGTCCGCTGACGGAAGGTTACCGGCCGGCGGGAACCGATGTTTGGTCGGCACACGAGCCCTGGTGTTATCTGCCCGGCTCAGCGTCCGCATTGCAGTCTCCGCCGGACGCTATGCCGCGGCTGCGCTGGCTGTGGTGTGACAGGGAGGGGGCCTCAAGTCCATAGCGTCCTGTGGCAGGGGAACGAGTGGAGGAGAGAGAGAGAGAGAGAGAGAGAGAGAGAGAGAGAGAGAGAGAGAGAGAGAGAGAGAGAGAGAGAGAGAGAGAGAGAGAGAGAGAGAGAGAGAGAGAGAGAGAGAGAGAGAGAGAGGCGGGGTCGTGTCGTGTGTGTTTTGCGTCACACGGTTGAAAAGCCAGCTGTAATTGGTTTAACCGTTTGCTCAGGCAGTTGATCCTTTACGACCGCCGAAGACAATACGGAAGATACGGTCTGGTGATCAGCTGTTTGTGCTGCTCGTCCCATAATGTGTTGGACCAGTGCAATGTTGGCACAGACCACAGCTAGACAAATTTGCTGTGAAGACTCGGAACACCACGTGCGCAGCATGGGATAGTCCCTTGATCATCTAGTCATGTGCAGTGGTGTGGTCCCAAGCATTTGTCATGCTTTTTGGGTACCTGGGGGATAGTTATCACGGGTGGAGAATGTTTGAAAAAGTTACCCCGGCCGGCGACCGAAAGTCAGAAAGACGATGATGCTCAAATATTTGTCAACGGTTATCAACAAACCCCTATTCTGTGGCATAGAATACCTAATGGATGTCTGCCGTTTGTACGTTTTTAGGGAAAACTGCTGCACGCAGGTATCGGAAGATTTCGTAATTGTAACAACAATTTTGCAACACGCCTTAAAATTTCGGACGCATGACACCTAGTGTTAGGTCAGGTCATCAGGTCAAATTTGCTGGATGATCGTGCTAAAAATGCCATCATGCCCTTTGCAAAGCTTATTCCGTGGAAGTTGCAACCTTCCCACACAAAACAAAATGTCAAATTTGACCGTTTTGACCCTCTTATTGATTTGAGCTTGCACCTGAAATACTATTCGCAACCGAGCCTTAAACGAGTAATCGAATGTTTTGTTTGTAGTGTTTAAGCTCCGTTATGTTCATGAACTGTGAGAAAAATTGTCGGAGAACGCTAAAATAAGAGAAATTTGGCTTTTGATGATCTATGGTGATTTTATTATTGAGCTAGCCTAAAACATGACCAGATTTCTCTGATCAGGTTCGTCGCTCTTTCAAACGTCGTTCCGCTTCTCGCCTCGTAGCCCAGTAGCCGAGTTAGAAGGAGCGTGAGAAGCCCACCTCTCGACTCAACGTGTTACGATAGGGCCACCACCCTGGCGCGGGTTAACCCGGCAGTTGCTGGGGTATTTCGCCACCCACCGTTTGCTGGGGGGGGGGGGGGGCGTTAAACGCCCCCAGCCGATAACTCGAGAACCAATAGGCGCAGCGAAACGCACGAGGCGGCAAACGAAAGAACGCGACGAGACGCTTCAGATGAGTACTTTAAAGTTGAATTTTGAGGTCACAGGTCGGGTCAAGGTCAGGTCAAACACCTGAAATCGGGCTTTCAGTAGCATGGACTTCAGGACTTCGCAATGAGCGCCTCTCGTCATAAACTCTGTCCAAACGGTGCACAATCCATCATATAAGGCCTACAAGAGTGTCAGCCCCATGTAGGGGTCAGTCAAGCATAGGTCAGGGTCAAGGTCAGGTCAACCGGGTAGGCACATATCCCCGAAAATCAAAACTGATATTCGCAGCCTGTGACACATGTTTTATGGGTAATTTGGGGCGTAGAACACGATGGTGACATTCATTTTATCATATGTGTACGTGTTTGGCTCAAAAAGTTCAATTTAAGAAATGTACGTATCATGGTCGTGAAGTAGTCATGAGAAATTGCCAAGATTCAGATCAAGATTTTGGCAAATGAGAAACGATAATCAATAATCGAAGATAGCCATTTGATTGTTCATGGTATTGGCAGTCTAATGCCGTTTACGGCATGTCTGTATGTCTATTCTGTGATTTTATATGATTTTTTGAACATATGCCGTTTTTGGTCGAAAACTCAGAAATCATGACGTCACTAAAACCTCGATATCTCAAAATTTTTCCAACCGATTTTTTTGAAATTTTGTCACAATAGGCTTCAATCAATTCCCTACAGGTACCCAAAATTTGGCGCGCCTGCGGCGCGCCGTTTTTATGCTATGGCCCGGCGAAAAAAGTGGGGGCGTTTAACGCCCCCCCCCCAGCAACTCGCGGGTTAAGTTGGGGGAGCCTTGAGCCCCAGCAGCTCGTCCTTCTATCTCACTGATATTACCCTCGTCCTGTCTTGTGATGTTATTACAGTGCCATCTTACGATAACGGCCCTTAAATATGATTTACTTCTGTTTGATGAAACATGTCGGGCTCCGCGATGAAAAGACTAAAACGATAATAACATAGAAGCTCCAAAATGAAAATAAAGTAAATTTTCAAGAACTTTTCAAGGTAGCTAAGAATAATGAGAGACGCTTTTATAGATGGCAGTTTTTCGTATAGAGAAAGCTTTTAGGATTTACAAAATTGGAAAAAGTTACCCCGGCCGCGCCGGGGTCGGCTGAAAGTTACCCCGGCCACGGCCGGGGTGGCCGGGGCAGGTTCTCCACCCATGATAGTTATATAACAATCAGATTCTATAATCGGTCTGATATCACTCAAAACGTATGTGGATTATTTTCGTTGAAGAGCAAGATCATTCAATTTCTAGCATCAAATGATGTTTGGATAACACAGAGAGCAGGACACTATGACTGCATCCATGACGAATTTAGGGATAAGTGCAAGGCGTATAAGGGAATAGAGCTAATGAAAAGAGACGAATTAATCCAGCTAAGCTGGAATTAGCTACCGCACACTGCAGTAGTGCTAACATGCACAAAAACAGACATTTTAGCAAAATAACAGCCATACCAAAGGAACTGAACGGCCATACCGGCGGCAGTAAAAACAGCGGGATTCCACTTTTGAAAGCTGCATAAACAAGAAACAAAAAAGAGGACTGTTTCAATTGCTTCGGTCTGATGTGCTTAGCATTTCATTCCATAGCCGATCGATTTCAGTCGACATTTGGCATGTGTTTTCGACAGTGATCTATGGATTTCACTGATGCACTCATTGACAGTTTTTTTTCAGCGTTATCAAACGTTTCAAGGCAGCGATAAAAATCGAGGGGTATTCGAGGCGTGTACATTGGCCTACCGTGCTGTATCCAATATCAGCGGCATCAAAGGACGCCTGGTTGGTTTCCGGGACGGCTGTGCTGTCTTCATTGTGTTCAACATGACCTTGAAGCAACGAAAACGTACCCAATGGTACCAATGAAACATGATCTGATTTTCCATCCACAAAAATAGATGGAGCAGCGGGGTTTGTAATGACCAGAAACAAACAAGGAGTAAACAGCATGAATGTAAAACAAACATGCCGATGCTTGGAAAACATCACAAAGTTATTGACAGGGCCTTCTCCTTGAAATAGCTTTGCACTTCAAAGCAAAGTCTGACGCAATTGTCCATGGAATCCCGCATTCTTATGCATTAAATGCTCAAAGAACCACTTTACTAAACCTATTTCGCATTCAAATAAATAAGCTTACACTACAATGCTGAAGTAACACAGATAAACTGCCCGAATGTCTAATGAAAGCAGCTACATTTTTAAATATCCCATTTTGAAAACGTTGCTGGTCTCGACTGTCAAGAGGTTCAACATTTCCTTTGTCAATACATGCAGCTCAGAAAGTAATTAACCTACGAAGAGCAGACAAGATCTGGGTCGTTTAAAAAAATGGGACTATTTGTAAAATAAAAACGACTTTCGAGACTTTCGAGAGAAAGATAGCCATCAGGAGGGAGGCATTTGAGCCCAAGAAGCTTTCCCAGCCGACCGGACAGGTCGGCCGCGGCGCCGACGGAGCGCCCTCCGCCGCCGCGCCCTCCGCCGCCGCGCCGTCCAGGCCGACTGACGAGCCGCCGCGCCGGTCGTGTGGCGAGCGTCCAGACTGGTGGCTCGTGCCTGCGGACAGGTCTTAAGCTGGGCGGCGGGTTGGGCGCGCTCAGTCGACCGCGGCGCGTGTGACCGGTGGGTGCCGCTGCGTAGCTCCCCCGGACCATCACCGGCGCCGGAGAGGTGTGAGCGCTGAGGTGTGTAGAGGTTGAGTCAGTCGCGAGCCGCCTGTGGACCCGCGGGCTGGTGAGGCGGTGTCTTGTCGGTGGTGAGCCATCTGGAGGTAGGAGACGAGCAGCTCCGCTAGCGAGGAGAGACGAACCGAGACGATGACGGCCGGTGACGCCGCCGCGGACTCTGTGGCTCGGCTGGCTGATGTCAGCCACGAGGTCAACAACAACACGGCGCTGAAGACGGACGAGCAGTCGGACTCGGCCGTCAGTGCCGGCGCGCTGAAATACAGCCTGCGCGCGCGCAGCATCAAGAAGAGGATCGAAACGGAGCACCGTCAGGTGGAGCCGAAGGTGCGCCAGCCGCGGCCAAAGGCAAGGCCGCCCCCGCTCAGCAAGTACCGCAGGAAGACGGCCAACGCCCGTGAGCGCGACCGCATGAAGGACATCAACTCGGCGTTCGAGCTGCTGGAGCGCTCCATTCCGGATCTATCTCTACGCACGCACGCCGAGAAGGTGACCAAGATCACGGTGCTACGGCTGGCCATCAACTACATCAAGGCGATGACGGCGATGCTGGACTCGGACGCCGAGAGTGCGGCATGTGACAGTCCCTGCGGCCCGTCCAGTGTCGGCTCTTCTCCCTCTTCCGGTTCCTCCGAGTGGAGCAGCGGCAGCGACCTCCCCGACCCACTGGACAACATCGAGGGTCTCACCGACTTCCAGCTGCCGGGCGGCATCGACATGCTCAGCGACATGCTGGACCTGAAGAACGACAGCGACGGCATCGACTTCAGCTGTTCCGACTTCAGCGACCTCCCCAGCCCCTGAGCGGCGCTCGGTCGTTGACGGGGAACTTGTGATCAGTCGGCGTTGTGACATTTTGTGACGCGTATTTTTATGACAGTTTTTGTGTCGTGTGACCTGTTTGGGGCTGCGATGAGGGTCTATTCTATTTGCGAGTTGTGACGGTATTGCATTGTCTGTAAAGGATTTTTAATCCGCTGACTGACGCGTACACTCATGTGCATAATTTGTGACATAATTGGCACTCGTAGAAACGAGCTGCGAAAAGCAATTTCCTTTTTATCTCAGACGTTATCTCGCGCGAGTTGATGGTAGCAGTAGGTGAGAGGTATCACCTCACGGGCAATGAAGGTAAGTTTCATGGCCCTGTAAACCAGTGTCGAGCGGCGCCGCCGCAGCACTCTGCCGCAGGCCACCGCCAGCCGCCGCCGCCACTGCCCCCACCCGCCGTCCAGCGAGGGCGCACTCTGCATATCTTCACCCGCCGCTCGTAGTGTAACGATAGCCTAGCATATCACGCCAATCTAGTCGGTAACTTTAAGGCCCGCCGCGCCGGCCGGCCGACCGAGCCTGGTTCCGGTCGGTCGGCGCGGCGGAGAGCGCTGATCCGGCATGAGGAGCACGCGCTCCGTAATTGCAGTGTGCGTGCGCAGCCGGCCCGCTGCAGTGTTCAACAGCGTCCGTGGGCGTGCGCGGCGTAACGCACGCGCCAAATGTGTAAAAATGGTTGTAATGCCTGTGCGGTGGGTGTTGAAAGTGTCTATTTGATGTGTTTCTGAACACTGTTCAGGTGTTTTTACCTCAATATCAAGTGTGTTTCTGAGCAGAGGTGTTTTGATGAGATGGGGCGTGAGCGTGACGCACAGAAGAGTGCTCGGGGGTTGAGACGGGGCTGAGAACAAATGATACAATGCACGAATTTATTCTTAGCGTCAATATGATTCACTGTGCTTCCTTCAAAACTGCAACGTTACGCTATCAAAAGATAGTCTTTTTGATTGCTGAAACGCGTTAAGTGCTCGTAAAACAAGAGCAACTAAAAACCAGTTTCGCTGTCATTTTAGATAATAACTTTTAAAACTATGCGGCAAAAACACAGAACTTAGACACAGCTGAAGACGTGGTGCACACCGCCCTGCACTCGCAACAATGCTCCCCGTAAATCGAACAACTGGTTTGAGGCGGAGCTGTGCTGCAGATAGTCCATTGTACTATGTAAAGACGACCGGGCACAGCACGAGTGCGGCAGATTAGACTTGTCACTCTGCAAGCAGCAATTAGCTAAATGCGACAGTGATTCTGGCGCCGAGTTACAGTGGAAGTGCCCAGTGGCTGCACCAGTGGCTGGGGCAAGTGTAGGTGCCACCTGAACAGCGCTCAAAATTCAGCCCGAGGTGAGTAAACAATGAATATAGAAGGCGTGTTCTGCGAACCCCGTTTTACACAAGACCATGCAACCAAAACAAAAGATAAGTGGTCTTTTACACATAACGGGTTGATATAGCACCCCGAAGATTAATGATGGGCGTAGCTGTAAGCACCACGATGTCAGGTAGGTAAGTACGAAAAATTATAGTTATTAATGAACAAAATTACATCATCTTGTTAGTCTGTTACATGGAAACTATGAGCATATTTTTAACAGAAACACCTATACCCATTGAGGGCATCTTCTAGTTTCGTGTCCCACACGAAAACCGCAGGCAAAAATAGCAAAAATATCCTCTCACACGCCACAGTGCATGCTCTTTGTGCATGTTATCGAAAAAGAAACGGTAACATCGATTTGCGAAATATGCTGAGCGTCGTAAAACTTTACCGGCGGCTATGGGGCCGATACAAATTCGTGACGGAGTCATGGCTGCGAGCCGGCGCTGCGGGCACCGGTCCGCGTACCCGTCCCTTCGACCTCCATTCAGCCCCTTTTCGCACACCAGTCCTCTCGACCTGCACCACTGTGGCTGACCTTTGACCTGACGTGACTCGGATGTAGCTGGTCGTTGATGATGCCGATGCTTTTCTGAAGAGAAATTGCATGCTGCAGTATTTCGACCTCGCCGCGGCATTATTCGAAATATATTCGCTGCAATACTCAGCGGTGAATCGTAAGTCGAACGCATGAAAACATACACGGAAGTTGTACGCTCTTGGATGGCCATCCCAGCTCATTCCAGCTCAAGGACTCACTCAATCCATGACGAGCCGGGCTCTCTGTGGTGTACCGACCGGCACTCCACGGGGGAGCGTGCACCACTGAGAGCCTCCGCTGGCAGTCCCCGGCGCCACGGTCTATTGGTATGCACCCCTCGGAAAGCATCCATTCGGACATTATGCTAAAAATGTCATGTAGGTTCGGTGTGGACGCTGGGAAATGCTGCGGTTCGCAGTTACATCCTGGAGAGTTGGCCGGTCGGCGGGCCGGTCGGCGGGCCGGCCGGTCGGGGCGGTCGGAGCGGCACGTGCGGGGCGGTCGGCCGTCGAGTCCGGCGGTCCTCGTGCCGCCACTGCTAGACAGACGTATGATCAGGTCTGTGACAGGTTGCTCAGAGGCTGGTCGGCGAGCGCTGAGGTCACCTCGTCGCCATGCAGCCATCAGCCAGCGCTGTCGGCGCATCGGACGGCGGCGACGGACGGGTTATGAATGGTCTATCTGTCGGCCATCTACAACGAGTACATACGTGCGACTGAACGTCGCGGCCGGACGCGGTACATGGGGGACAAGTTGGGCAGTTGATAGCCGACACAGTGGTGACTCGTGGGGAGTGGCGATGGTGGCATCTACAACACCGTCTAAAAGAGGTGGCGGCGCGGTGGCAAGGAGGGCGTTGGTTATGGGACGGGTATGATTGAGTGTACGATGCATAGCATCCCGTTTTGAAACAAAACAACCTACTAGCCTGCTCCGTGCTTAGCATTAGGCCATTTACAGACAGCTATTATACAGGTTCTCTCACCCGGAGCCGGGAGCACGGTCCACCGATCAACTCCACCCACCCCACCTCGAGGCAACTTCTCTCTAAAGTCTAAGAGCTCCGATGAGTGATACCCGCCCCGACTAGCCCACTGTGATCTATGCCCGTTTTTGCCTACTGCACTGCCACTGCCACTGCCACTGCTACCGATGACGAATGCACGGTAGCACAGCGGGTGCGTCGCTAATGAAGCTGCGCGCGCCACTCCACGCCGCGCTGAGCCGATCTTCGCCGCCGCAAAAATGACGCGCCGCAGAGTCGCGCGCCTGTGCGTGCGGTCAGTTTGTAACGCGAGGTCAGAGCATGCAGAGTGACGCTTTTTAGGCGTGAGAGTGATGTGGTACTTATGGGGAAAAGCAGCGCTGAATGGGGGGATGGATGGAGTGCTCTGGGGCGGTCGGCTGGTGACGCGGACGGGAGAGGGAGGGATGTTGCTAGGAGTGCGAGACGTTTTGGCAGTACTTGCCATCGCAAATCGTCTGTGGACATATAAGTTGGAAAGGACGGGAGGACGGAAGGATGAGTGTCGGGACAATAGACGACTTAGCTGATTACAGATGTTGGGTCACTAATCTTCATCTTTTTTATTTTTTACCTTTTTATGATCTTGATTCTTATTTCAATTCTAAATAATCGCATAAATAGTGCGTTTAGATAGCTTCCGTAAGTTTGATAAAGAGCGCAGGCCCTTCTCCTCTATTACGATTTAGAGCTTGTCTCCTTTGAAAAACATGGCTTCATAATATGACACTGTATTCAAGGCGGTACAAGCATGAGTATGTACATTGTTACCCTCGGTAGTAAAGCTGTTTGAGTTGATAAGCAAAGCACTGCTACTATTGATCGCTGCTGCCACATCGGTCCTTCCTTGTAGCCCAGTTTATTACAGGTAACACCCATTTGGGTGTGTGACAGTAAACTACTCTGACATTTCATTGATACTAACCCGACACACTATCGGTTGTATCTCGGTAGTGAGTAAGATTTGGCAGCAACAGTCATCAGAGTCGTATAGTCATGTCTTGTGCCATTTTTGGCGGCGAAGAAGAGTATTTTAATGTTTATTCTTGTGCAATAATGTAACATCAGCTTGTGCCCATTCACGTTGAAAGCTTGCTGAAAGATGTCCTCACCGCCTTTTCCAGAGTCCATTGTCTTAGGTTTAAGCTGCCCATTTCTGTATCGGCGGCATTCTCATTGAGTGCCATGTCAACTGGGCGCCGGGTGCGGTGCAGCAGTCGGGTCCGTATGACACGGCCGTGGAGGAGCACCGCGACGGCCTCTGCACGGTCAGAGAAACACCCGCTGATCCTCGAGAAGGCATGGAGCTAGTGACTAGAAACCTCTGAATAGAAGCCGGCAAATCGCGTGACGGCTCTCCGGCCACGCACGAAGGGGCGCCGGGGAGACAGCCACGGACTCCCTGAGAGTTACCGCAAGAGCTGGGAACACTGCCTCGCGACTCAGGCAACTGCTAAGGGAGAAAACTGTGAACTGCTGAAATGACAACTGCAAAGTATGTACACACTGAGACAACTGTGAACTGAATTAGAATTGGACATATTGGCAGGTCACGTTAGCAGTCTCTGCCCCTTCTCATATTATTTATTGATGTAGCGCTGTTGTAAATCAACTGCTTCATACGTCATTTCATTTTTCATCTAGATATTTTGACTGGACGGATTTGATTATGTCAGAAACCACGAGGTCGGTCAACATGGCTCGTAGCTTAATGCAGCCTGCACACTGCTCAGGTCCTCACAGTCACCACAAGATCGGGGAAATTCTGAGTTCGCGGTAAGCGGGAAATTCTTGTTAAGTCATACGTTTACCGTGGCCACCTAAGCGGACATGTTCGTCCCCCATCACCGACTATGCATGGTGAAAAACACGATGATTCCTAATGGGAAATTAGCGATCACAGATGAGACTTAAAAACTCCTCACGACCGACTGATAGGCTGAGTCGGGCTGTCATTTATCGCAGTTTTGGTCCGTGTGTGCTTTGGTGCCTGTTGCTTCTCCCCGAACGGCTGCTATTTTAGGGTCTCTGAGATGCTCTGTGTAATGCGTGATTTGCTCTGTGTGATCGGTAAAAGCACAATAGTTTCGGCTTAGTGTGAACCTCAGCCCGATTGGGCAACGGGCAGTGTCTGAGTTCCGCGTGCGGATCCCCAGGTCACTGCTCCGTGCCGGATCTGGCCCGGTTCCGTGCTGCTCCGCGTCTTAGCTAGGTTTGAGTTCACGGTCTTTCCTCGTGTATACCAGGTCAGGCTAGAACACAGACTGCACTTGACCTGGCCCGGTTGGATCCTGCCTGTGGTATATTAGCACGGATTTGTTGTCACTCCTCTGCACGGTGTCTTCTGCCTAGTCTCTGGGCCGATCCGGCCCGAGCCGAGTCCAGGAACGCCGTTTGGCGTCAGCCTGTCCGGTGTTGCACCAAGCCGTCAACAGGCCGCTGTCACACGATCGGCCAATGGTGATTTACAAGTTACGGAGCATTAACGACGTCTCGCATTAGCCTTTCAAATGAGGTGGCCAGTCAGACGGGACAAGATGTAAGCGAAAACAGGTTTGACCGCAGCGGCCTTAAAATTGCCGGCGTGACGCGATGCGCCATAAGTGCCGACGGACCCCGAGAACCCGGCTACCTGACTCCGACTCAGCGACTCCAGATGAATGGGCTAATCCCGACTCGGCGCTGATCCGAGTCTGACTCGAGTCAGGGTGCGGTGAGCTCCCCGGAATGGCCGGCGGCGACCACGCGCCAGGTTCGTCACGCGGCGTCGCAGCGGCGCCATGAACGTCGCAGCAGTGCGGCGCGCCGCTGCACGGCGGCCGGCCGCGCC